CTGTTTGAGACAAAAGGGTGGAGCAGGATGAGCTCAAGCAGAAATGTGTGTTTTTCCAGATAACGCCAACAGCAGTGAAGATGCTGGCCGTAGAAACGTGCACACTGTGCCTCCACCTTCTCGTGTCCCAGGACCCTTTTCTATGGATTCATGGACTCACTGCCCTCTCCTGCCTAAGAAAATTAGAAAGTCCAAAGATCTATCCATACATTCTAAAACGACTTCCTCCCAGGTACTTGTGAGGGTGTCTCAGCCAAATCACCTTACATATCAAAAGGCGCATGTCATTCAGACAGCAGTGGTTTTGACATGAGTTGATGAGGTCCTGAGGAGCCACTGAGATCCCTTGACTGCAATGTGCCCTCTGGATGATCTCCAGTGGCTGGGGACTTCAGTCATCACTCTACCCTGAGAGCACTTGACCAGACAACCTCATGAGTGAGTGATAGTGTGGACCAGACTGAGAGCAAGCAAAGTGTGGGAAGACAAGGCAGAGGGTGCAGGCATTGACCTGCAGAGTTGATACCCATAGACTTCAGGGTTTGGGCTGAAGCTGCTTTGTGGGTATCGTGGGTTGGAGAAGGAATAAAAATGATGACAAGGATAACTGGCATCTTCTCTCTCAGCTGTCCCCTCAAAGGAAATGGGTGGTGGAAGGTTGATGGGCACATTTGGACGCTGCCTACTGTTTGCCAAGCAGTGCTAACTCAGGGCCTGTGGCAATGGCGTATCACGAAAACATCACTCACATTCTAAGAGACTGGAACTTTTGCTTACGTCATCATAGCCAGAGTTAATAATGAACCTTGAGGTTGCTCAAGACTCGAGTCTGCTATCCGGCTATGTACTCAGCTGGTTTGTTTAACCTGCCTTTAAGAACACAGTGCAACAACCAACCTTACTTGCCTTGGATTTTCCAGGTAATCAACTTTTACAGTCTAAGCTGATGTACAGCTTTAATCTGAAGTTCAGCCCCTGGGTCAGCTGGAGTCAGGAGAGTCTCGTCCCCTACAAAACTCGGTTAAAGATTTCTGAAAAGCATCCCTCCTTCCTTCCCCATCCCACTCATTCCATACCGTTCAATAAACACAGGGGGAAGCAATTTGTTAGGGACACGTGGACAGACAGGTAGGCAAGGTAAGCAGCACAGATTCGACTCATACGACAGAAGGCACGAGGAGAGAGAAGTAGAGAATTCAGATCTGGGCTTGCTCTTGGTAAAAACTACTCCAGGGGGAAGCCTCGGGTTCCTTCTCCTTAATGCAGCAGAGACTTATTTCGGATTCTCACTGATGCATTTAACCAATGCGAGGACCCAGAGGACGGAGGGTTTGTACAGAGTGAGGGAGAGGAGAGTCTTTATCTTCATGTATTAAACACACTGTAGCTCTAGCAGTGTAGTGGGACCTAGAGAGAACATGGCGCTGGCACACTGGGAAAGCCCAGGGTGTACATGGCAAGAAGGACATTTCTCCCCAGGAGATGTGGCAGCTGACAACAAAAGCCAGGCAGAGTCCTGAGGCATGGTTGTCCCCAGTGGGTGCAAATGTCTTCCTGAGCATGAGTAAGGCAGCCTGAGCAAGCTCTCGTGAGGTGAGGGAGTTTGGATGGATACCTGGAAGTATAGCACTGAGAAACCTACAAAACTCAGTAATGAACAACACCATGGTCTTATTTGTATGCATAGGCTGGTGACCACAGAGGACATTTCAGGAGCATTTGAAAGATTCATAGCAGGATTCTTTAGGCTACTACTTTTTGGTCCTGACAAATAGCTGTCTTTCATAGCCTGTCTAGCCTAAAAGTCAAAGGTCAGAGGTCATGGGCATCAATGTATGTTCTTAATAAAAGGAGAAAATAATTCACAGGTCACAATTAAAACCCAAGGGCCAGGCATGGAAGCCCGCATCTATAGCTTCAATGCTTGGAAGGCTGAGGCAGGAAAATTGCCACAGCTAGAAGCCAGCCTGGGCTACATATGGTGTTATTTAGCAAGAAGGGTCAAAAGGTACCAACAAAACTCTTCAAAACACCAGAGTTCCCCTTGCCACCTGTGTGGCTTCAGCTCCTGTGACTCACTCTAGAGCCAGATGAACAATGCCTATGTTTTGATATTTTTGAAGGTACACGAATCCTACCATCGGAGAAAGTGGTAGATCCGCTGATTCAGCATGTTCTGAGTAAATAAAGCATTTTGTGTAGAATGTCCTAGGATAAACCGGGGGCATGACAGAAAAGATTTAACTTTCAGAAGTTCTCCTTGGATGCTGCACTCAAAGAAAGACCAAGAGGAAGAAGCTGCCAGCAGCGCCTTTGTGCCTTCAGCTGCCCAAATTTGTCTAATTCTATTTTTTGCTTCTTCTTTTGAACCACCCAGGGTCTTTTGCTCTGCCACCTCACTGCACTTTTGGCCCAGAATCTACATCTATAAAGCCACTGGTCCCACAAAGTCAGTATTTAACTGCGGTACGCCTGCCGTAAACCCAAGAGAACCACACTTGTGTCGAGGAGCAAGAATGTCACAATGGACTCCCTCTTGCCATACAGTTGACTTCTTCCCTTGTCACTGTTTGCCTTCCCGGCACCCTCCATTTCTCACACTCCAGGTAGCAAAAGAGAAGAAAAAGGCATCACTTTGGCTGAAAGATTCCAGTTTGTAAGCCTCTGGCCAATGCCTTCCCAAGGCATTTTCTTGGTTAGTCCTCAGAAGTCTACAGAGTGAATGTTTTTATGAGGAGACTTTCATTCCTGTGCTCATCACCACACAGCAAGAAATGGGCAGAGGTGGGGTTTAAATTCAGCAACGCACCTTGAGATTCCGTGTGCCTCAGTCCCCCCTTTTAGATCATGCTCCATCTGTGCAGTGTTTCTCCTTCCATAAGCTCTCTTTGCCTCGTTTCAGGACTTCAAGAGGGCTTTCCAGGGGACAAGAGGGCTGCCACCTCCTATCCACAGTGGGCTCAGGGGACCCTAGCCTTTGAAAAGCGTCTCCGTCGTCTGATGGGTAGTGAAGGGTCACTTTCTGAAGTGGGTCCTGTGCATCTTGAAAGTCTCTCATTCCTTCAATTTTTACAGGGACTGTGGAGATGGCTCAGCAATGCTTGCCCTGGCTGAGGCCCCAAGCTCAGTTCCCAGCTCACAACTAGCTGTTAACTCCAGCTCCAGGGTATTTGATGCTTCTTCATTCTATGGGTCCCTGCACTCATGTGCACGTACTCAACACAGGCACATACAGGACACATACTTTTAAAACAATAAAAAAAATTAATGTGGTAATATATTGTTTGTGATCTAATAAAGCCACTGAAGGTCAAAATGTAAAGCTAGCCATTGAAGCAGAGCAGGGGTGGCACACACTTTTAATCCCAGGACTCAAGAAACAGAGGCAGATGGGTCTCTGTGAGTTCAAGGCCACTCTGGGCTTTATTCACTCTGAGAGTGAATCAGCCTAGAGGAGAAACAGAATCCACACTGTTAATACCAGCACTAGAGAGGTATATAAGACAGGAACGGGCAATCAGCCTTGGGCAATTTGTCTCCAGCTACTTTGAGGATAGGATCTCCAGAGTTGGTAGAGGTAAGAGCTCTCTGGTGGCTGCTTTGCTTTTCTGATCTTCAGCTTGAACCCCAATATCTGTCTCTGGGTTTTTATTATTTGCACTACAAAATAAACCTTTAAAAAGGACAAATTTCCTATGAATTCCTAACAAAGAGTGACACCAGTCATCACAAACTAATAAGTAGATTAGTTTGAGACCCCCACCCACCCCCATCACTCCTGGAAAACAAAATCTCTATGAAATGAAATAGAAGACAATGGACCAGAGCTCAAACAAATGGCAAAGAATCCTCTGAAGGTGGATGAAGAAGAGAAGGGAGAAATGGGCTAAAAGTCCAGTGCAGCCGTCTTTCATCCCCAGCATCTACTTTGCCCACCAAGCTTTGGCTCCTCCCATAATCTTACTCATAAAAGAGTGGTGTTGTGTTGTGTTGTGTTGTGTTGTGTGTGGTGTGGTGTTACACATCTAGAATCCCCAGCATTGGCATTCAAAGTTCCCTCAATTCAAATCCAGTGCGCTACATACCACACCCCTCTGCCTCTGCACAAACACTATGGCCCTGGAGGAATCACTTCACCTCTTCCCATCTTGACTTTCTCATCTTTGAAATGGAGATGGCAGCCATCCTTGGGTTTTGGAGCTGAGCTGTGCCTAAGGTGACACATAGAACAGCCGCTGTGTCCAAAGTGCACTGTGCAAGCCGCCATGCTGGTCTTTCCACACTGGCTTTCCCACACCAGCGCTAACCACCTGTCTTCCTGTGCTTCTGATTCCCTACAGGACTGCTGGACTCAGAAACCAAGGACCTTCACCCTGTGTTCCACCAGCCCTGGGGTGACATGTATCCATCTACCTTTTAGAGTGACAGCCCTGGCTGACCAGCCACCTTGAAATGATTTGTTTTCTTACTAGACTCTGGGAACAGAGAAAGGCCTTGCATTTTTAAGTGTGGTTTGGCATCAGATTCCCACAGAATAAATGTCTTCTGTTCTAGTGGACAATTAACGATTCCGTTTTGTCAGAGCAGAAGCCAGCAACTCCGGTGCCCTCCATCACTGTGAACCAAACCAACAAAAGCTATCCTCTCTGGATTTTGAAAGATTTTTTTTTTCTCCTTGGCACACGTTAGACATACTGGATGAAATCAGAGCTATTTTATCTTCTCTGTTGGCAGTGCCCCAGCCTACTGAGGACTGGTGAAAACCTGCAGCTTTCAAATTCATGGGGCCATCAACTAAAAATATGCTTCCACACACTCTGAAGAGATCCCAATTTAGATCCACAAGAAATAATTCAACCAAAAGCAGTGTCCTTCCCTGGGGACCATCTGAGGAAAGGTCTTTAACAGCCCAGATCTCCCCGCCATGGTCTTGGGGTAATACAACAGGAAGATTTTTCACATTTTATATTGCTAACACACAATCTCTTCAGCTGCCAGTG